GCTACAGCTCCACGGGGAGGACACGGGTGGCAATACAGAGGTGGGGCTGTGGCTCAGAACGAGGAAAGGGGCAACCCACACAAATATCCAAAACTGAGCAGATTCATTTTCCAACATTCCAGAAGAAAATAGGAAAATTGAAATTACATTGTGTTGACAAACCTCGATTTTTTTTTTTTTTTTGGAGTAACAAAGCAAAAGGTGAAAGCAAACCTTCCAAAGTATTGTAAAATTTATTGTATAAGTATTGCAGCTTTTAGAATGACATATAATTGCCACTATCGGTTACTGGTACACAAGAAGCGTTTACAACAGATTTTTGTAAATTGGCATCAGAGTACATATTCATACTAAAACAGCAAAATATAGATAAGTACTGCATTGCATGTGCTGTCAATAGTTTACATAAGTTTAAATTGAACAGAACTCAGGATACAGGACTGCCTATAACAAACTCCAAAGCCAACACAATGCAACTGGAAGTTTAAGAAAATATTAATACAATGAAATGTGTCTATAAGGCAGGCAAATTAGGACTTTAATGTTGTCCTTCATGAGCTTCTATAGTACAGCAAAATTTTGAAGCGCAGTTTCTGGAAAACTTCTTTTTGTTTGTTTTTTTTTGGTTTTTTTTTTTTTTTTTTTTTTTGTAGCTTTGTGTTGTACACAGAAAATCTCTGAGCAGTACAGAGACAGAAGAGATTAAAATTCATTCTGTTCTGGCCTAGCACTGTTAATGCTACACATCTGATTCAGTCTTTTCCCAAGCCTTAGGAAAAACATTGGGCTTTGATTTCTTTATTTCGTTTAATATAGCAGTTAGTGCAATTTCATAATTCAATACACATACAAAAGGGTGATTCTCCAGAAAGCAATTGGATTTCCTTAGACCCCACTCAAGACAGAACGAATTTTGTAACACTTATGGAAACAACACGCTGGATTAGTAAAGCTGAGTCTTCAAACCGGTGTACCCAAGGGTTGTGAAGGGAACACGTGTTTGACCAGTGTCAGCCCCAAATGAAACCCTTCCTTCCTCCCCACCAGAATCGACACAGCCACGTTCCCATTCCAGGCCAGTAGGGTTTGGGGGCACTTTAAGGATGCTGTTTGCCGTACTGTAAGCTAAGAAACTCTGTAAGATGAACAACCCCTTTTAAAGCTAACGCCACTTAAAACTCCGAGCAAAAAGGCAGGCTAAGGACATGAGGTTGCTGAGCATTAGCAATGCCTTGATTCTTCTGCATTTCTTTAAAAATAAATCACTTTTAGGGGCCTGAATCTCTGTGCTGGCAGCTGCAGGACACTCTAGCGCCGCTCTCCACTGAGCTGCACCAAGGCCAGAGGGAACAGGGCATCAGCGAGGGTGTGCAAAGCAAATTCCCTGCCTTGGTGGCAATTCAGGACGTGGGAATGGGGAAGAAATGGACCCCGAGGCAAAAAGTAACATTAAATAGTAGTAATAATAATAATAACAATAATAACAACAACAATAATAATAATAAAAAAAAAAGAACAGACCATTATTTCTAAACACCCATTCAGAACTTGGAGTTGATCTGGGCCCCAGATCTGGTATCTGCACTTGAAATACACAGTTCTCAGGACTGCAAAGAGAGGGATGGACAGAAGAAAGACAAAAGATAACAGCTGAGCTCTGCTGAGGAGCTGCACCCACTGCCTGGGACCTGGGGCTCTCCCCACTGGAGCTGCTGCAGACCAGGGAAAGGTGGGAGCTTGGGGTTTGTGCATGGATGGGCTGAAAGGCATCGTTTGCAACAGAAATTTGGTGTTGATGAGCCACCCCGTTTCACACTCATTAAGCTCCCCAAACTAGAGAAAGAGGTAAATAAAACTGGACCCAGGAACTCAACAAATTAATCACTCACTGCAGAGCTTGGGGTGACACTAGACAAATAGAAGCTCAACACTGGGAGAGGACTGGGGAGGGAGGAAAAAAAATAGGGAGGAAAGAAAAAGAGAATCGGTTGAAATTTTGAGGACTTTCAAGCATGAGAGCTGGGTTCAATTGCACTGCATCTTCAGACCCTCTCCCACTACCCCTCTGTGCCTATCCAGCCCCTGCCCACTTCCCTGACTTCTCCACAAGGTTTGGTGACACCCTGTGACAAGACAATCTCGTTCCTTAACAACCTCTGGTCCCCACACCACCTCTTTACTCACTGCTCAGTTTTAAACATGTGATGCATATTCCACCCAAAATCTGCTGAGGTAACCGTATTTTTTTTAATAGCAAACAAAACTAGTTCAGATCACTGAACAACACCCCCCTCCCTCCCCAAAAAAACAAACCAAAAAAACCAAAAGCAAAACCAAAAAAACAAAAAACACCCAACCCCAACAACACTATTCACGCATTTTGGCTCAAGAGGGCAGTAGATATTATATTTCGCTTTCTCTTTTGGTTGGTATCTCATTTACAATATCCACCACAGATTCCTACCTCCCCGGGTAGGATAATGTGCATAAAACGTGTTCAAGTTCCCTAAGAACAGTCGGAGCAGAGCAGCGGCCAAGGGAGCAGCAGGTGTGGCCAGGCACAGGGAGCTGCTCCGGGAAAAAGGGACTGGAAAAGTGAATGCAAGGTCCAAAGGAGCAAGAGACCAGACGCTGGTTACTTGTAACGCTAATGATGATTTTGTGTCCCCCTCTCTAAGAAGGGAGGGTTACTGTTTCTTTAATAAGGCACTAAATAGACATGTTACATAAAGGAAAGATACATTTTAAAAACTCGTACAAATTCTTCAGTTTTGTACCTTTCATGACAAACTAGATTTTTTCCTTTGCATTACTTTTTTTTTTTTGTGTGGCTTTTTTCTTTTTTTTCTTTTTTTTTTTTTTTAGGTCATCAAAATTTAGGTTACGTGACTGTAAAACTATGAAGATTTCAAGAGCTGTGGAAAAGCAGTTTGAAGCATTGAGAAGGTACAGGACTATTTCTAGGCAGAAATAAAATTAAAAAAGCAAAAAATAATAATGATCAAACTTCAAGTTCAGCTATTCATCATCTTCTTTAAAATATATATAAATATTGTTCAAATGGTCAGAACTTCAAAACCGTTCTAATGGTTATGGTTTTTTTTTTCTTTTTCAAGTAATAAAAAAGTTGCTTAAAAACAATAATTATTGCCTTTATATCTTTCATTTATGTCACTCTACTAGATAGCATCCTGCAGGAAATCAAATCACACCCCTCTGTAAAATCCTCGCTCTCTGGGGCTCCCTCCCGACCCTTCCTCGCGCTCGGAGGGACGGGACCCACCTCGGGATTTTCCCCTTTTGCCTTCTCCCCCTCGCTCTCTCAGGTTTCCCACTCACAAATTCACCACGAGGGTGAGGCCCCTACCAGACACCGAGGTGACAGAAAATGTCAACAAGAGCAGAGCAAGACAAACGCTTGGGAAACCGAGATAAATTAACCAGGCACAAGGGCAGGAGGGCAGCAGGACCTGGGGGGGGGAGGATGTCCCAGAAGAGGTGAGGAGGGGTTGCTTCTAAAGCCTTAAGCATTATTTCTGTAGCCTTTAATTAATACAACACAGGAGCAGATTCATTCCCATCTACTGTACCTGGTGCCTCTTTAGCTGGACAACAAATGTAAAAATCAGCGAGAACCAGGGACGGCGGAGCCGCGGGACACGGCTGCTATCCCAAACTGAGGTTCGGGAGGTTGAAACAAAATGAAAATGATGTTCACCACCACCACACTTTCCACCTCGTCCTTTCAACGAGACATTTAAACCCAGCTGAAGGGCAGCCAGTGGGTGCATCACCAGTTCCTCACACCGACTTTCACAACCACTGCTTTGGCTCCAACAGGGCCCTTCAGTTGAACATGGAAAGAAATAAACCAAAAAACACTTTTGTTCCTTCAGACACAGAAGTTTATTCTCAACCCCCACCACCCTCCCCTCCGAAAAGTTAGAGGTTGTCCAAAAAAAAAAATTAAAAAAAAAAAAAAAAATCAAGTAATTTTTGCCTGCTTCAATCATTCCTGACTGCGGGAAGCAGGGAGTTTTCATTTTACCTTGTTACTCCAATAATCCTACTGGGTGACAAGCAGACACACACCAACTCCTCTTGCTTTGTAGGGAATGTATAAAAGCCGTGGCTGTCGGCGGCCACGCGCAGGGACTCTGGAAATTAAGGATTTGCATAAGCTGCAGTCTCGCTCACCGCTCCTCCCAGGGCTGGCATCTCCATCCAGCGATCCTCCTCCCCTTCCAGCTACTTTGTTCTTCACTTCCACATGGATCCCTTAACAGGTTCATGGTAGACATGATAGAGGCTTTGACCAACACAAGCACTGACATATTTATATTAAAAAATAGTGCAAAATTTCAACATTTATATAAATAACTCTAAACCCCTGCTTTTGATTTTTTTTTGTTTTTTGTTTTTTTACAATGTAATACATGCTTTTTGAGTTGGCACTCAAAAAATTGCCATTTTTTCTTCTAGTTCAGAAAACAACTTTTTTTTTGAATAGGCCTCTTCTAATACAAAAATACTCCTGCTCCTTACACATACACTTTCTCTTATTTTTAATATATATTTATATATTTATATTGCAGATCTTTAAACAAAATGGTTTTTGTGCAAATATTTTGTTTTTAAAGATAAGTGAAATAATCAAACAAAAAAAAAAAGCATTCACACACAGCCCAACTAGAAACAAACAAAAAAAAAAAGACTACAGTTGATTTTTTTTTTCCTTTTTAAACGTCTAGACACAGCTCAATAAAGAAATGTTTTTGCAAGCTTGGTAGGCTTGTGCATTCAGACCAGACATAACAAGTAAATATTTATACACGGAGAGATGGGGAACGGCTTCTTTTTTTTTTTCTCTTTGCTCATCTTCCTCAACTCTCTCTCTCTCTCTCTCTCTCCTTTCTTTTAACGAGAAGTGCAGAGTGTTTCATTTACTTTCTTGCCTTTTTTTTTCTTAACTTTTTCCTTTTTTTTTTTTTCTAATTCTTATTTTTTAAAAGGGGTGCCCTTTTTGTTTCTCTTTCTCTTTGTTCCACGCCGTCGTCGTCGTCGTCGTCGTTGTGCTCTCAAGGCCATTGATGTGTGAGGGATGGAGTCTGCTGCCCTCCAAGATGGGGGGCACGCCGCTGTTGTTCTGCTGGTGCTGGTAGAAGGTGGAGCCGGGGTAGTGCCCGATCACCTCGCTGTAGGTGGGCGGCGGCCCCTCCATCCTGCCACTGCTGCCGTAGCAGGTGGCGCTGATGCCAGAGTTACTGCTGGGGGGGCACGGCCCCCCGAACACCGAGTTATCCATCAAGTCACTGTCGAAGATGGTTCTGTTCGGGGGCGCCCGCACCGACTCCCTGTTGAGCTCCATCTGCTGCTCGGGGTCGCGGAGCTGCAGCGTGCAGGGTCCCTGGTAGGGCGGGGGCTCCTCGCCGTCCGACAGAGAGATGGTGGGCGGCAGGTCGATCTCGTGCTGCAGGTACGGGTACGTGGGCTGGAAGCGGTTGAAGCGATCCCTCTGCAGGAAGGAAGGCACGGCCAGGCGCTCGCTGGGCCGCGGGGTGTAGATCTGCTGCTGGAAGGGAGAGCAGGAGAGGAGAGGGGTCAGAGGGGTGAGGGGCGATGCCGTGGCACAGCAGGGCACAGGGACGGGGGTGGTGGCACCTGCGGAGCCCTCACCTCGGTTATGCCGGTCCCCGACACGGTGCTTTCCGAAGGCCACAGGCTTCCCTCCTGCAAGGGAAAGGAGAAGAGAGGGCAGGGCTGTGGTTACTGCGCTGCACAGAGAGAGAAAGGACAGCAACACACACGGGGCTCTTTGGGGAAAAAAGGCCAATTTATTGTACGGACAGCCCGGATTTAAAGTGTGTTACATGCAGCTAGGTTCATTGGACAATCGGGAAAAACATCCCTGGGACAGCATGTCTGGATGTCCCATGGGAAAGACATCAGGTGTTAATCTTTATTATGAATTCCACTCTGTTTGTCACCATGTTATCACTCTGGGAGACTTCCTCCCTAACTGAAGCTGTAGTCAGCTTGTCAGCCTGGGAATGGAGCTGAGAGTCAGGAGAAATCCAGGCCTCAAAAAGGATTCCCAAGCTGTAATTCCCTAGCTCTGTGAATGTGTGTGTCCACACAGGGTGAGTCTGATGCCAGGAGGGTTAAAGCTCCTTCTGCACACAGCTTGTGCCAGGTGTCACCTAGAGATGACACTGCCACCGTGCTCCTGCCCTGCCTGCACCATCTCCAATGCAATCATGTGTGCTGGGCATGGTGGGGATGGATACATGCTTGAGTGTCACCACATCACCGCTGAGAACACCCCTTTGATCAAAATTTCCCTCCCCTTGCACCTCCATCTCCATTTAATGGATCGTTTGCAGAATGAATGATGAGAACAGCACCAGCAAATAACCCTCTCCCTTTGCAGACTTCCCCCCTCCCACCCCCAGCACAGCTCTTTCCTGGTTCAAACATGCCAGAGGAGTATTTTTCAATTTGTGATCCATGAGCCGTGGGTGATTCACAAGACATCAAAAAATGCTCCATGAAATAATGACAAGATTTTTTTAAAAAAAACCAACAAAAACAACAAAAAACAAACCCAAAAAAACCCCCTCACACCCACATTCTGATGCTCACAACCACAGACATCATGGGAAAATAAAGATAATAAGTGAATAACCAAATGTTAAGCCTAATTTTGATCTGACAAAAAAAAAAAAAAAAGAAAAAAAGCTCTGTAGCAACAGGAAGGTTTCAGAGTATTTTTTCCCCAAAGAGTAAGTAGTCCTTGACTTAAATAGACTGAGGGACTGAAGTGTAGAGGCTTTCTTACACTGCAAGCATCACCCTGATCCTGAAATCCAAACCTCAGTGCCAACAACCCCAGGCACGGTGAAGCCACAATTTCCCCCAAACCCTGAGACTAGTTTACAATTCATGATCAAAACAAACAAACAAAGGTTCTTCCCATCTGCTGGTGATACTCTGAGCACGCACTGTTCACCCCAGACATTTTTGCCTTAGGATCTGCAATATTTAAATATTGCTAATATTCACATATAGCAACATCCCTCTGGCAGGCAGAGCTGGAGAAAAACAGCCAGGAGGCTTGTAATTATAACTTGGAACTTCCCAGTTCCTTGCAGGTGAATCTCCAGTTCTGGCACTAGTCAACCAGGCACAGGCAGAAGTATTTAGCACCAGTGGAGACAAAATGCCAAGGGAAAAAGAAACCCCCTTTTTCCCTTTAAGTGTTGCACTGAGAGGCTGGCTGAGCAAACCATAGACCTTCCTCCTGTAAGAACTCCTATTTCTCTACCTGCTCCAAACACAGCACCACATTAAAATCTCCAGAAAAACCTCCCATTATAACCCTCCTGTTTTCTCATTCTTCCCCAATGATGGAATCTCTTTTCTCCTTTGGCATAGCACATGGTATCAGATACAGAGAGCATCCATCAGGTCCTGGGTTTTGAAGCTCAGCCCTGCACACAAACCTCAAGGCAGGGCTGGTGCCAGTGCAAGGAAAAGGGTGATTTAAATGGAAATGAGACTGCCCAGAGTCAGTCTTCCCCTTTCTCCATGGCTTTTTCAGGGCCACCTCCTTGGAGCAGAGGTGAGGTGCCACACTGCCAGCACCTTCCCTGGGCACAGCTGAGGAATGTGCTGGCTGAGCTGCAGCCCCGTGGCCCTTCCTGAGCAAGACAACCCTGTTCCATTCCAGACCTCGAGACTCCAACATGCAACTGTTTACACAGGCATCCACTGTTTAGTCTGGTCCATTTTCCATGGACTTCTTGCCTGCAGGGAGAGTCTGCAGTCAAACTCTCCCAGCAGCCAAAAGATCCAAGAGGAACTGCATCTGCCACAGGACAAATCCTCACCTCCAACTCTGTGCTCAGGCCCTGACACCAAAAGGCCCAGGGAGGACTTCCAGTGCCAGCACAGGCACTGCCAGCCTGTCACCTCATCCCAAAGGACACTGAAGGAGGAGCAGGAGCAGGAAGCACTCCCAAAATTGTGTTTACTTAGCCGTGCCCCCATGGCAGACTTCCTGAGCAGCGAGTACCCTGCTGCCTTCTGCTACGTGTTTTATATTTAACTTGGCAGTGGGCAGTGCCATGGCAATATCCCATCTGCTCCCCCCTTTCCTGGGAGTGATGTCAGCCAGCTCCCACGAGGGTGGCTGCAGCCTGGTGCTTCCCAGCCCTGCCAGGCTCAGCTGGGACATCCCACTGTGGCAGGTGATGGGCAGGGCTGCTCCACCCAAAACATGCCCTACCCCTAAGTGCCCACTCACCCAGAGCCTGCATCAAGATCCTGCCCACGTTTGGAATCAAAGCTCTGGCTCACACACCGTTCATCTGTTTGTACAGATGAGGTCCAGGAATGATGCCCTGGGCAACACGTGGATGCAAGAGTAGCACACAGTAGGAACAGCATTAAAATGGGATGTGCAGAGAGAGGAGGAGCAGGCAGGAGACCCATTTTCTGTAGGGGCTGGATCTCTGCAGCCATTATTAACCACCTCTCCCAGGACTCCAGAGCCTGGCCATGCTCCTGTGCCCACGGCTGACTGATCACAGGCACCCAGTGCTCCCCAACACAGACCCCTGCCACACACCCTACCATGAAACCCATCCGGGGAGCAGCTCAGCTCCCCTGAAAACTCCATAGCAAGACTAAAACTGCTGGAAATCAGTATTCAGAGGAGGGCAAAGCCTCAGGGACAGAATACATCCCTGTTTTTAGCCTTCACTTTGGCCCTCGGATGGCTCCACAGCCCCACTGAGCCAAGCAAAACTGCAGGAGGAACTTCACTGCAAACCCTCAGCTTCTCCTCACCCACCTCTGATTTTCAAAATAATTAGGACTTAAATCCATCTCAACAATGAACAGTCTAGAAAGCCACAGGTTTCTGAAATGAAAGGTGAGACTCTGCTGTCTCATGAGCGACACAGTTGTAAAAGCCTCCGCAAGTATTGCAGGACTTGCTGCAGAACCTAAAATTACTTTTAAATTTCTTTTTAGACATCAATCTTCATTTTTTTTTAGAACTACTTGTTCTAGTGATGTCAGAGAATTTTCTCTATAAAGCTGCATGGTACAGATTAAGTCTCTGAGCCTGCAGGAAGACTCATTTTCTATTTTGGGGGACAAAGGTGTGCTTGGAAATTGCACTCGCACTACTTCTTCTTGGGAGAGTGGGATACCACTGTTCCAAAGGTGCAGGGACAGAGCCATTCTTATAGCAAAAAAAGTTATCAGTAGCATTTCTTAAGTATTCTTAGTTCTGGAAAATAAAAGGTACTTGTCATGAGGAGACATGAGGAGAGTTTAAGTACAGTGAGAACAGTGATGGAGAAACGCATGCAGTAATATAAAAACTGCTTGCCAGTGAGAGCCGCATTAAAAAGCCCTTTAGGGAAATTAATTTCTCCTTCAGCTGTAATTTTTGAGCTGCAGCAACAAAAAAGGACAACTCCAGCAGACCCAGCAGCATCCTGACCATGGGATGAACTGCTTTAATATTTCAGCAGATGAAAAGCGTGAATGCAGTTCCAGTGATCGTCTGCGGTCACGACACCAAAATGAAGTTTGGGATTCAAAAAGCCCAACACCAGTTCAGTGCAAGTTTAATGGATTGCACAAACCAGTATCCAGCCCTGCTTCAAACTGGAGGTATTCTCCACTGACAGACACGCTGTGCTGAGCCTGGAAGGTGCTGCCTTTAAGGTCTTCATGATGCTGGATCCCACTCTAATGAGTTCCCTGCTCGTTAGTGCACGAGGGGCTTCTCTGTCCCATCAGGAGGGTGCTGGGACCACAGGGAATCTCTGCTGCCACTCCATCAGTGCTGCATGGACAGGGCAGGGAGATAGGGAACAACCATAAAGATGGGGAAAAATAAAAATAAAAAACCCTCAAAATTATACATTCCTATTTCTGTCCATAGCTCCAAAAAAGGTTTTGAAGACTGCACATCCTCACTAGGGTCGAGCAGAGGCACAGATGTCAAACACTGCTGAAAAGCCATTTAATCACTGATGTGTCTGAAGGCTGAGTAAGTAACAGAGCTCAGCCAAAAAATGGCTGGAAATTTTGGCCTGGTAAAATTTAAAATAGAAAAAAATATTAAAGGGGGAAAATAATTGTTTTTTAAAGAGTCAATTGCTCATTTAACCTGAAATTTCTGGTAAATCTCCATGTGATTTTCTCTTTTCTATGTTAGCCTTCTTAACTCTTTTAAAAGAAAATAAAAAGCAGGCCACTTAAGAAAACAGAAATTACTGTATTAAAATAAAAAGGGCTTGATCTAAACTTTGCTTTGAAAGTGTAAAAGACACAATTTGCATTGTGTAGGTAAAACATTCTGGACATGATAATACAGTGGAAGAATCTGAAAATGGGGAAACAATGTTTCTGCTATTTTAAATAACTCATGTGCTTGGATGCCCACACTCTTCTGCTGCTGGGAGTGGGTGCACGGGACCGTAAGAGGAACGAAAGATTTCGGGGTGGAGCTGGGATATGTGTGGGGAGCTGGGCTCTGATCCCCAAAGCAGGGAGGTGCCTGGGCCACCTCCACCCTCTCACCAGCTGGTTTAATGTGGGCTCACGAATCCTGGGGGATCAGGCATTCCCAGCACTCCCATCCCCCAGCTGGGATCATACTCTGCCCTCTGGAGAGGGGCTCCACAGCCCATGGAATGAGGGGGAGGAATTGGGTTGGGGTTTGCACAGCTCTGCTTCCCAAAGCAGCCAAGAAGGGACCTGTGTATGGTGTGTGACACAAACAGCAGCTACAAGGGACAGCCCTGCAACTGCACTGAAGGATGGCTTGGTGAAACATCTCGGATATCTCTCTCAAAAAAATTAAAAATAGAGGAAAGAAAATGGAAAAATAGACGGAAAAAAACCCGAGCAATTCCTGTATTTTATCTTTTTCCTGAAGCAATTATAGATTTGATTCAGGGGAGCACAGCCCCACACAGAGCACCCCACAGCACCAGTGGTGTGTCCTGCCTGCCCTGGCAGCCTGCAGGGGAGGAGGTGTGCAGCAGGGACCTTGAGGGAGCCCTGTTTAAAGGGCTCTAAGACCCTTCAGGGTGAATGCTGAAAATGAAAAGTATCAGTACAAGACATCCCTGCACTGGAGACAGAGCCACAACAGCAGCAGTGAACAGCACGTGCTCACCCTCCAAGAAAATGCGATGCCTTTTCTCTATACATCCTTCTGAGTCTCTCTGAGCCACTACATTTGAGGAAACTGCATGAACCAACATCTGCCTTGAGGCTGGCGAGACTTCCCCTCAAATCCCTGTCAGAGGTACCATTCACACCTTTTTCCTCAGGCTTTTATGAAGCCAGGAGTCTGGGTTAGAGAGCCTCTTGTACATCCCCTTGGAGAGGTCTCTGCTTGTCTGGCTGACAAGTGTTTTCTGCCCCTTCCACTGCAGGAATGGCAGCAGCACTGGTGAAAACTGGAGTCACTCAGCATTTCCTGCTCTCGGCAGGGCAGGCAGGAAGTTTTTATACAGTCACTTGAGACTCTAACTGCAGCCAAAGGACAAGGAATGTGAACAAGGCTAAACCCAAGGCATATGAACCTCAACCAGCTCAGGGTGGTGATTTCAGGAACAGGACATGCCAAGAGCAGCCTCATGCAGTCACTTTACTAATGGAAAATTCAAATGGCAAAGCTCAGGGCGAAGGCAGAGGCTATGGCTGCCCATACATCAGCACACACAGCACCCTAAAGAGCCAGAGGCACCCCTAAAATGCCCCCCCACCCCCAATAACACAGACAGATGATGCCAAGGCCAAACACAAGCTGGCACGGGTGTGACTTACTGAGGAGAGGTTCTCGTCTCGCCGCCTGCCCTGGCTGTGCCGGCTGATGAAGGATCGTGCCGAGAGTTTGTAGTGGTTCAGCAGACACGTGATCACCACCACCATCACCATCATCACCACCACGATTATGATTATCTGTACAAACTCCAACTCCGCTGCAAGAGAGACAGACAGACAGACTTTGAGCCATCAGCACCAGCAGCAGGTAACTGAGCAAAGAACAACTGCAGTGGCTGAGACAACACTGACAGCACTGCACCCTTCCTGTTACAGCCTTCCCACAAGGGCTGTGTGTGCCCTCAGCCCACAAAAACCTCATTCATTCACTTTTTCAGTGTCACAGAACAGTCTCCAGGAGGCATCTTTGCAGACAATCTGTACTTCAGAGTGTTTCCCAACTACAGCACAGACTGGACTTCCCAAAGACCTCCTGGGTGTCCCTAGCACTGGGCACAAAACCAGGAGCATCCCAGTGCCTCTCTTGGGGCTGCAGAGCCATGAACCAACATAATTCATGCTAATGAAACAGTTCAGCTACATGCAAGCTAAATTTCTGGAGTTCTCTTCCCATGACCACCACTCCAGGGAGGACAGGGCTGAGCCCTCCTTGGCACATCCCTGCACAAGCACACATCCCCTCTGTCCCAGGGGTCAGACACGGGTGGGAGTTTTGCACTACCTAATCAGTGGTTTGTTTCAGTCTCTTTTGCCTTCACTTAGAGCTAGGATTAACAAATACACGGTGGAAATGGATTTTCTCGTGTTCAGGCTTGGTTGTTTATTAAATCTTACCTAAAGCACAGAGCATTCAGCAGCACTTTTAGCTACCTGCTAGAAGCGGGGAAAATGGAGCCAGATCCAGCTGCTACAAGGTCTCTTAAAGCTAAACAGTCCAACAGAGAATTAACACCTATATTATTTATCCTTTTAACCCAATAACTAAAGTCTCATGACCCTTAGTGTGACATTGACTAACCAGAAACTACTACTTGAAACCCATGAAGAAGGAAGAAGAACACTGAGAAAGACATCACTTAAAATCCTCCATCTTGTCCCATTCCTATTACTATACTATAAAACCTCAAAATTTAAGACTCATCATTATGTGAAAGCACACACTTTTACTTCCATAATTTTAACTTGATCACTAAAATTTGGAAGCCTTCTCCAAGGCCTCAGGTCCAGAGCAGTGTTCTCCAGGGGGTCTGTGCCTGAAAGCACAGAAAGTTCAAAAACTCCAGGTTTCTGGCATCCAACACCAGGGATCAGACAGGGGTGGCCCAGGGGACAGCACAGCACAGCAGGCAGTGGCAGCCCCCCATCTGTGAGCCTGCCCACCCACCAGAGGAACAGGCAGGGAGATCTCCTGCTTTTGGGTGAGACACCTGATGGGTGTGATGCCTCTGCCATGGGGCCACATCCCACAGCTCCAGACAGTCCTGGGCAAGGCCAGCTGACTGTGGCAGCTTGAGTGGCTTGAACTGGCAGAAAGGAAAACTGCCAAAAGCCCTCCAAACCAACAGGAACAAGCAAACAGACCATCCAGTTAACTCTGCAGACACTTGGCAGGAGGCAGCGAGAAGTCGCTCCTAAAATTTCCTAAGGAAATAATTCCTCACACCTCTCTGAGGCTTAGGAAAACTGAGTACTGGAGGCAAACATTGTGCTGGGTCATTATTTCCATGAATTTGCTGCCCAGGGAGTACATGCCATTCCCAAATTGCTCAGTCATTACCCCCAGCCCCCCTTCATGCCAGCAGTGCCCAGGACTGGGCAGCAGCAACTCCAGTGCCCAGAATAAAGGAGGGGCCAGACAGCAAAATTCAATAATTCCAGGGATTTACACTTTGTTTGCTTCTCAGCAGTGACAGCTGTAAGATCCAGTTGGGGAAAGCCATGCCCTAAGCTATCATGGATGCTGCCATCTATATTTAATCTATACACACATATATATGTGCAGACACACAGCAAGACTCATCAGACCTCAAAGGGCACCACTCATACCAGCTGGGGTGGCTTCTGCTGAGTCAGGTAAATTCATTAGTTTTTTTGTTTGGGTTGGTTTTTGTTTGTTTTTGGTTGTTTTTTTTTTTTAATGGAAAGTTTTCTCCTGACAGGTGGCATTTGAGTGCCAGTAAAAGCAAATAAATGTCAAGAAAACAGTCCAGGTGGTGAGCGCTGCCAGTTACCTTGGAGCTCTTTCTGCTAAACAGCAGCTATTTCTGCCACTGCCCAAAATGCTCCACCAGCTCTGCCCACTGCCTGCAGAAAGCAGAATGATGCCTTGAAAGCAGGAGCCTTATCTGGCACTTTGAGCTGGATGGATGAGGGACGTGCAGTCCAGATTCTTCCAGCACCCCTAAAACAGCTGCCTCTAACCTCAGGAAGGTTTCACATGGGGTGGGAAGAGAGGGATTAAAAGCCAAACGTTGTACAGGAGTTTTGCCCTAAAAATGCTTTTTAGCTAAAATAAAAGACAAGCTCTGGGTCTTTCACAACAACCCCAACAAGCTGCCCAGTACCACTGTGAGAGGAAGAGCATGGAAGAAAAGCATATTCCCATAAATGTGATCCAGCCCCAAAGCAGCACAGCTCATCTGTGGGACCCTAAAGCTGCCCCTGGTGCCCTGTGCTGGAGGAACTGGCTGGAACAGGAGCTCATTGCTTCTGAGCAGACCCCAGACTGACCACAGGCACAACCACACCAAAACCTAAAAGGTTGGGAAAAGAGACGATGCAAAACCATTTCTAAGGGGCACAATGATTCTTCCCATGTCACCCTCACTATGTAGAGGTGTCCCTACACATCCCAAAGACATGTCCTGGTGCCAGCTGTAACTGAGCACTGACAGCAGCCTCCAGCAGGGTGAAGGCCCAGCACCCAAGCCAGGCACAGGGCACCCCACAACTCCCGTGGGTGCTCCCCTGGCCACCCATGAAGAGCCAGATCCCAGAGCCCCTGTGCCTGCTCTCCCTGTGGGCAGCAGAGCAGCCATCCAACCTGGGTGCAGAGCCCATCTTCTGCACAAAGCATTATGGAAAAGAAACAAATAAGCCAAAAAAAACCCCAAATGTTTTTTAAGATGAGTCACTTCAGCCTCAAAATGCAGCATATGCTTTGGCCACGGTAAGAAAACACATGAAAAAAATATAAATGAAGCCGGTGATGGAAAACTTCCTTTTCTGTTAAAAGGGGTTATATTTCTAAAGAAAAACAAGGCCAAAGTAGTAGTAAAGAAAAGTTCCTTTCCTAGAACAAGAGATCCCTTAAATGAACCAAACTTTTCTAAATTGGTCCTGGTGCTTCAGTGACACAGGTGAAGTTTTGGGCATTGGGAAGGGCTGCCCCAGCTCCTTCCCAGGAAGGAACACATTAAATGTGTCACTCACAAATGACCTACACCAGGATTCCTGCACACACAGACACAGAGCCAGCAGAAGAAAGGGTGGGAATTCCATCAGCATCTGGGACAACACCCCAGTGTCTCCTCCATCCCTCAGCACTCTGGGACTGCTCTAACTGGGGATGGTCACCAAGAGGTGCCACGGGAAAGCACAGGATGATTACCAGAACAAAGGGGATGCTGCTTTCCAGCAGGGATGCTCCTCTTGCCCCATCTCTACCCCAAGCCCAGGCTCTGAGGAGCCTTACCATGCCCAGGAGCAAACCCATCCCATATGCAGGGATGAGCTTTAATCCCAAGAACACTCAGGTTGCCCAATCTAGCTTTTGGAAAAAATAAAATAAAAGTCATACCGAACAAAAAAACACAAGAAAAACAAACAAACCAAAAAAAACCCACCCTCACACACACTCAATTTGTGCTTTTCATGTTTTAAGAGACTCATACCCACTTGAGGCAGCAAAGTTTCTGCCAACTCTCCCTGTGTTTTAACTTGTCTTCATGGGTTTCTTTTCTGCAGAAGGGAAAACAAACCCAACACACTGGAAAGCTGGATATACTCAGTAAGATTTTTATCCAAGCAGCTCAGTCAAACTAATGAAGAAAGATCATTAAAAACCCAAAGTTTGAGTTAATATGTTATTATACAAGTGCAATTCAGCTGCTATGCTAATAAAAAGCCTTTGGGGAATGAAAAACAAGCCAAACTGCAAAGCACATAATTTATAATTCTACTGGTATTCTTAAAAACACACACACAACAAAACAAGAAAAAAAATACTCAACACATTTTGTATTTGGCTTCCTAATCATTGTCACTTTTCAATTAGAAGAGACCTCATTCCATTTCTCTCTGTAATTTTCCCCAAGGGAAGTGTTATAAATGCACTAGGCTTTACAAGATGGGCATATTCCGCCTCCAAATGCAAGGCAAGGTCACACTAATTTAATTTTGCATAATTTTTATTCCAGAATACATTTCAAACTAACAGGTTCAGACATCACATTTAAGTGACACAACCTGCTTTTCCGTATTTTCTGTCTAGACGCGGCAGCTCCGGGAGCCGGGCGCTCTGCGTGCGACTGTTTTGCAACCAAGCATTTTCCCCCCACCCCTCCAGATCCTCCCCACCCTAAATCCGTGTATTCGTGACCAGGGAGAAGCACTTGTCACGTCCCATTCTTCACGTTCACTGCTCGCTTGCCACTTCAAACCACGCCTGGCCTTGAACAAGGGCTTGGCAGAGGATTATGGAGATGTATTAATGAGTGATAAAGATTTTCTGCTTCCCAAAGCCTGTGCACTCCACTCTGCTGTATTTAGAAGAAGCTCATGCCCTTGCTGGCCACCTTGCTGCCCAGTCACCATGACCACAAAGTGTCTGAAATGTATGGATTTATGTGTGGGGTGCTCCTGCAGCCCACATTCATGGCTCTACAGAAGCTGCTGCAGGAAGGTGCAGCTGGGAGCTTCCTGGAGTCCTTTTAAGCAAAATACTGGCACTCACAAAATACTGGCACCCACAGGTTCAAATGAATTAATATATGTACAAGGAGGGAGAGTGATTTGAGTCAATGGTGATGCTGGGGGCACCATCACAGCCCTAGGGGAGGTGAGGCTGGGTTACACTTTAAATGCATTGCCTTGCCTTTTACAGCTGCATTTCAGTTCATAAAATGTTTCCTATAAACTTTATTAATGCTCTTCCTTCCACACAGAGTATCTCTGCAGAAGACAAACTCTCCAAATC